TATTATTATTCCATTCCATTCCACTCTATTCTATATTCTATTATTACATTCTAATAATATGCCCAAGAACAGTGTTATGACTATTAGAAGGATGTAGTAAATATTAATTGAAAAATTAAGGAATAGTGCTGATATCAATATATATAGTAACTCTAGACAATGTTCGTTTGCTTAATGTAGTAATATTTATTTGTATTAATATTGGTTTTGCACCAAAATGAACGATACTCAGAAACCACACTGTCCATGCAATGATATTCATGATATTGGTGTGTGTTTAAAAATAAAAAAAACTTTACCCAAAAATAAAAATTAAGGTAATAGTAATGAAACATCAGATTCTTGTAAAAAAATGCCTGCAAATATGCAAAAATAAATCTCATTTTTTTCCCTCCTGTAAGTAGAGATACAGTTGCAGTTTAAAATACACAGAACTACAAATTGCAAAACACGAATAGAAGGCAAAATGTTTTGGTGGACTGAATATTGAAACGTTTAATTGCAAAAGGGAAGTAAACTTTTTTTTAATGCTGATTTCCCCCTGCAAATTAAATGTTTCAATATTCAGCCCACCAAAAACCTTTGCAAACATTGTCTCAGGAAAAAAGATTTGATTTGACAAATGACTTTGCAGACTTCCCATTCTAGCTTGGTTTTCAAAACATTTCCCTGTAGGTGAAAATCAGCTAAGGGAGAGATTCAGTCTTTTAAAGATACTTAACATCGATCAGAAGGCAGTTCCCTTCCCTCCCGCTAAAAACTCCGTTAAAATTAAACTTTCCATCCCATTGGACATTCCACTTCAATCCAAACCAGCTTGCGAGAGGATAGAAAGAGAATTTGTATACTTTTCAATACAATTTTTATAAGTTCGTTCTAAACGGAAACGGTTAAGGACGACTCAGTGGGTTTTTCTTGATAATTCAAGCCTTTTGAACATGTTTTTTTGAACACTGTACTGCAGACTAGGGCATATAAAACCTTTGCCAGACCAATCCTTGAATACAGCTCGTCTACCTGGAATCCACACTGTATATCGGACATTAATACAATTGAGCGAGTCCAGAGATATTTCACGAGAAGAGTCCTCCGCTCCTCTGCTCACAATAGAATCCCTTATGCCACCAGGCTCAAAATTTGGGGCTTGGACAACCTGGAACTACGCCGACTAAGTTCTGAAGTAAGCGTAGAAGACACAGTTGTCTGCTACAACCTCCTACCTGTGGATGACTACTTCAGCTTCAACTACAACAATACAGAGTGCATAATACATACAAACTCAAGGTAAACCGCTCCAAACTCAATTGCAGAAGATACGACTTCAGCCACAGAGTGGTCAACGCCTGGAATGCTCTACCTGACTCTGTTGTTACATCCTCTAACCAACACAGCTTCAACCTCAAACTGTCCACCACGGACCTCACCCCATTCCTAAGAGGTCCGTAAAGGGGGCGTGCATAAGCGCACCAGCGTGACTTCCATCCCTGTCCTACTGTCCCCATTTATTTTTACAGATGGATGGATGGATGAATAGATAGATAGA